TATATATATATATATTAAAAATAAGTTTTAAAATATTTTATGAAATATTCTCTAAGGAGATAAATTTCAATGATCTTTAATAGTTACTTTTGATCTTATCTAGTGACAAAAAAGAAATAATTCATAATCATTTATCTTAATACTCTTACAATATAGAATGATATTTATTTTTTTATCTTATTTTATTTTTTTAATCATGATATTATGTGATGATAAATAATGTATCATTGATGATATACAATGATGCTCGATAAATTATAAAAGAGCATGCATGAAAAATATAAAAATATTATGCGGATGAGTCACATGATTTTGTCCCATCTGTCTCGATTGAACCGCCAATCGTAAACTTTACGTCTTTCATTTATATTCATAGCAACTCAACCACTAGTGGTTCAAATAAAAATTCCAAACCGAACCAACTTGACGTTTAACAAAACTACTACTTTGTGGTGATCTCAATGTCTGTTCTCCGAAGGAAAGCCATAAGATGCAGACACGCGTTTTCCATTATTAGGGTCGATACCCTCATTAGGGTCGATTCCCTCGCTGTCTTGTCGATTAACAGAAATGGGCGGTGGCCCCCACGTGCATGACGACACGTTTCAAATTAGACATCGACTCCCACTGCTGCTCCACACGTGTCGCGACTTGTCGCCGAATACACGAACTCGTCCAACGCCGTCAGGGACGCCCCCTGGCCACCGCTGCCGCCGCCCTCCACCGCTGCCGCTAGACCCTCCGCGATCTCCCTCGCCCTCCGCCTCACTTCCCTCGCCCTCTCGCCCTCCCCCATCACCTCCGCCACCGCCTCCGCCACCTCCCTGCCCCCCACCGCCTCCGCCCCCGCCCCCAGCACCTCCGCCACCAGCTTCGCGTTGCAGAACTGCTCGCCTCCCATCGGTCGCACCACCACCGGCACCCCGAACCGGAGGCTCTCCAGCGTCGAGTTCCACCCCCCGTGGCTCACGAACGCGCCCACCGCCGCATGCCTCAGGATATCCACCTGCGGGACCCAACCCCGCGCCACCAGCCCCGACGTCCACTCGCTCTTCCCAGCAGGCGGTGGCGGCGGGGCCTGGTCAGGCGCTGGCGCTGCCCACAGGAACGGTCTTCCTTGCTCCTCCAACGCTGCCGCTAGCTCCGCCGCCTCCTCCGCCGGCAGGCGGTTTTGTGACCCAAACGACACGTAGACCACGGACCCTGAAACGTGGCGGTCCAGCCATGCGAGGCACTCCGCAGCGAGCCCGCCGTCGCCTCTTGCTACTCGACCGGCGGCGGCGAAGAGGGGACCCACGGCGTAGACCGGCTGGCCGGTTGACCTGGCCCAGGCGTCGAGGAACGGCTTCTCGAGGACCTCGGCAGTGTTCCAGAGGGTGGCGCCGGAGCTGCTGCAGAGCACTGCCTGGCGGCGGACAAAGGAGGCGCCCTTGTGGTCGGGTGATCTGGCGGAGCGCATGTTGGGCGTCAGCTGGCGGCGGCGCACGGTGACGCCGGGGACACCCGGGACGGTAATCTCATCGTCTTCGCCGTCGCTCCCATCAACGTGCGGAAGGTTAATCCAAATGGAATAATAGATGGACATGGCATAAGGGCCGGAGGTGTAGAGGGTGGCGTGGAAGACGCCATGCTCTTTGGCCACCGGGGCCGTCCAGCCGAGGAACATGTCGGCGATGACGCAGATTACGGGAGGGGAGGCAGCGGAGATCAAGTCGGAGAGGAGGCGGCGGAAGGAGGGGAGGAGGCATCCCTCGATAACGTGGTTCAGGTGGGTTACGAGGTGTGGCGGGAGAGCGAAGGAGGTATCGGCGTCGGGAGGGAGTCCGTGATCAGAGGGGCAGAAGGGGAGGGCGACGAGGCGGATGGAGGTAGGTAGCTGGAGGCGGCGGAAGCCAGCGAGGTTGCCGGAGGTCGTGACGAGGGTGAGGGTGAGGTGAGGGTAGCGGGCGGAGAGCAGGCGAGCGAGGTCAAGGAAAGGGTTCATGTGGCCGTGCGCCAAGAACGGGAATAGCACCACGTTGCCCTCCCTCATCTCTGCACTCTCGCTCTCGATCTCTCTCTCTCTCGCTCCCCATATAAAACCCTCCAAGTGGGTGTCTGCGCCGTCGTCATAGACTGGCGAATGAGATGATCTTCAATTGCTCACCATCGACACCCCACCATCCAATTCAGTGGTTGCTCGATGACTACAAAGGACAAATGGCTAGCTCTATGGAAGGTGATTCGGCTAGTCATACTACTTGTATCTCCTACCTGGCAAGGCAAAGAAACTTGTTCGATATGTATGAATAATTGTATGGCGAGCATACGGAGGGAGGGACGAATGTTGGTGTTTAAAATCTTTTGGTAAAATTACGACTGGGCAACTATAAGGTTCGTCCAAATTTTACACCAGTTAATTATGACCAATATTTTCTCATATTTATTTATGAGTTTATTGCCTTCATTCAAGGGTCAGACTTAATTTTCTCATTTGTATTTATTTATCGTGATGGTATGACTCATCTTGATTTAATCGAACAAAAGTTTAATGGATTATATTTTTTTTTAAGTTTGACTATATTAAATTTTATCTGTCTAATTCTGATTCTATATAAGAAATTTAATAATGATGAGTTTAAGATAAATTAGTCAATATTAATATATATATTAAATTATATATTAATTCAATCTAAATACTTAAATTATTATATTATAAATTTAATATAT